AATAGCATGCATCTTGACTAGCAAACATGGTTTACATGGCAAGTATATGAAGCAAATGTAATCTCACCAAACTAAAAAAATCAGTGAATAAATCATGTGAAATAGCCCAAATAACCACTGTATGCAACCATGGTATGCAAAATAATGAGCTCCTTTAGAGGGCCATGCAAGGAGTTATTAAGCACATGCAAGGTAGACATTTAGCATGGCATAAACAACTAAAAATCAAATATGGTAGTCCTAAAATTCACCAAATTGACCCCTGGAAAGTGACTTTCAAAGCATAGCAAGGTTATAGGGTTCTTCTTTGGAAGGCAAAAGGCCACCGAAAACAAGAAGAGAGGAGAGGGGTCCACCCCCCTCTGATTTGGAGGCTCGAACAATAGTGTTCTGTACTGAAATCCACTATATTTCAGTGGCTAGAAGGCCAAACCAGCATGCCAACAGAGCTTAGGTGTCAGGCCTCAAAATAAGGGACAATCAAGCATACAAGGGAGCATATGACCTCAAACAAGAAATGTCCCTCAATCAAAATGAAGATGAGTTCAAAATGAAGACTTTTTCCAGGTTTATAAAGATCTCAAAAGTGGAAACAATAGGGCTAATCTATCATGCAAAAATGGCCTAAAGAGAGGAAGAGACAAGGACGCGCTGTCACACAGTGAAGACCCTTCACAAAGTTGAAGAGGGACTCAAAATGAAGCACTTTACAAATTTGGCTCGAAGCCCAAAAATGCTTAAAAATAGGGCTAACATATCATGCAGGAAAGGCGAGCGGGGGTGCTCACGAAGTGACCTTCCCCAATCGTACCCAAGTTCCCGAGCGATGCAACTTTGGTGATGACGACACCGTGGCCTTAGGCAAACGAGTCAGGGTTTCCTAAATTTCCCCAAAATAAACATTAGGTGGCGACTCTGTATCTGGCAAAGCAGTCCATGTTTGGCACTTCTTTCAAAAAATCTGTTTTCTCAAAACGATTTGCCGGATTTTGACTCTTTGGTTCAGATTAAGAACCGTGACAATTTGAGAGTCCGAACTGTAGTGAGCCCAATGAACTGAACGGGACTCATCCTCCCGGGTGTTCGGGGACGTCTACATTAAGCAGGTCTTCAGTAATCTCAGATTATTGCCGGTTACGGTGCTAAACCCATAGGGGCGGGTTTGGGTCGTGACAGGTCCGACTTACCATCGTATATCTGGAAACTCGGCATATTGAATCTTTTTGGAGCCTCGAATTTGTCCCACTCCACCGAGAATGGCGTTCTTGGCTTAACGGTGGAAGTCCTCGGCATCTTGCTGCTTCTTCTTAAGGTAATCTCTCAAGTCTTCTTTGGTCCGCCCAGGAGCTCGGCTATCTCCCGACTTCAGTCTCTTTGGTGCACTACTTTCAGCCTCGTTGTGAGCCCTTTTCGACCTTTCTCCGCGAGTTGTGTCGAAGCATAGCTCCTGCCTTTGAACATGTCGATGCTCTCTGGGGTCTGCTTCCTTGGCCGCGATGTGTCCGTTGAGACTTTCCTTTCTCGACTCTTCCCGCCTGACCTCCCAATAGAAGCCATGGACTTTAACTCAATGCTCATCTTGGACTCTCTAATGGATAAAGATAAACTCTCTAAAAGTGTTATCCTTATCCATGCTGAAGTCTTTCCTCAATCTAGGACTCTTGTGTTTATCTGCTTATCCCGGATTCCGATATCTTCGGAGATAACCTCAGCCTATCCGAGATCACCTCAGCGTCATGACCAGGACATGTAGCACTTCAACTGACACGTCGGCGTCACCTTGGCCACATGTTGGTACTAAGAAAATATATCCCCACACCTAGTAGTGTCTGAGTTTGTGAAGAAAAGTCTGTCAGTCTCTCAAAATAATAATTCGGAGTGGAGACAACAGATGTACAGCCTAATTAAGAGTGTAGGATTACTGGATTGGGTCAGCGACGTAGTTAAGGCTCCAGCAAAAACGGTCACCATCACTGTCTCAGATGCCGCTGGTTGTGGTGATAAGGGTGTGAAGGATATAGAGAATGAGCATTACATCTCATGGAAAATATCAAATGATAAACTACAGGAATGGATCAGAACAATGCTATCCACAGATATACCCGAACATGTAGTGCTAGTAGATGATTGGCTTGCTTTCCAGTCCCAACCTAGTTGGAATCGTCTAGTTTACTTTGATACTTTGGCACTCGCCTCCTTTATTGATGTTCATCTTTATATTCTGTACATTTGATTTTCATCAAATAAATTTTCTTTAGCTGATAAAAATAAAAAATAAAATGTGGTGTGCAGTAGTAGAACTGCTAAAGCGATGTGGACCAAGTTGGAGAGAAATTTCGGTATGCTCAACCTTACACTTACTTCAATCATTAATACTATGTATCCTTAATTTTTACTCAGAAATATCATGTGTGTTTTAAATTTATCTTATATATAAATTTTACAATATACAAATTAAATCTCAACCATACTTTCCCATTTATGATTTATTTTTCTCAGTAAGAAGGGTTTCCGACTTCAATGTAAACAACTGGTGATGCTAACATAAATAAGAGGTCATGTTAATTAAGAGAGATAAATGAACAAAAAAAATTAGAACTAAGGCCTCGTTTGGCAAGAGGCTATTTTAGCCAATTAGCCAAAAAGTTACTAAATTAGTCAAAAAGCCAACAACCCATACCAAAAAGTCAAAGATTCTCTTTTCTCTCTACTTTTTGCACAGTTTTTCGTAATTAGCCAAAAAGTCATCCCAAACATACAAGTTTTTTTTACCTACCTTTTTAGCCAAATAGCCAAAAAGTTACTAAATTAGCCTGTTCCCAAACGAGGCCTAAGTGTAATTTTTTGCACATCTCAATATTTTTGTATGGATTTTAATTTAATTTTTATTTAAACTTGTTTGCCAACATTAATGATAGCTTGCATTTTTCATAAATAAAATAGAATAAATTACACTAATCTTTCTTCAAATTTTAAAAAATATAAAACAAAATAAAATATAATGATGAGATTCTATTTTATGGGACTTAAGACTTGTGTTGGTTTGATTTCATTTAGTACAATGACCTCTATGAGTTTGGCATAATTATATTAAACTCCTAAAATATTTTAATGTATATAATATTTAGTCTTATTCTCATAAATAATTTGTTAATCGTATGTATATATAAATGATATTGACAATCTCTTTTATATTAAAACTAGCATATCACCGGTGCTATGCATGAGATAAAATAATATATTATACAATAATTTTGAATGATATATATTAAAGGGGCATTTATATACAGGTCCTAATTTATGAACTTATACTCCATTAAAACTTAACGAAGATTTTTTGGACCTTCAAGTCCCATTTAATTTTTAATAGTCAAAATTACCTTTCAAATAATAATTGTTCATCATCTATGATTATTTATAAAGAAACATGATGATTTGACATTTATTTTGATTTTCAAAACTTTAAAATATTAACTTTCAAATTGAAAAAACTAAAAAAACTAAAAAAATTATAAGCAAAAAAAAACTTTTTTTTAAATTGAAAGAACTGAATTAAATTTTGTGTCTATAAAGGAGTATGATGATGGAACATTGATGTGCAAAATTTAAAAAATAAATAAATAAAATTTACGAATGAAAAACTGATAATATTCTCAATTTTAAAACTGAAAAAAAAAACTAATAATGTTATCGGTTTTATTGAATAGTTTAATCAAACTGATAAGTAAAAAGGCAAAAATGTTTAATCTCATACTCTTTTTTTTCCATCAGTTGGTACATTATAATTGATAATATGTAAAATTGATATAGTAATTACTATGTAAAATTGATAATATTCTTAATTTTAAAAAATAAGAAAAATTGATAATATTCTCAGTTTTACTAAATAGGACTTATTGGTTCAAAAAATCTTAGATAGGACCTAAACTACTATAACATTAGGTAATTAACTCTAAAATTAATAGTTAAATTAGAAGAAAAATTAGTAACATAAAATTAAAAGTAATTTTAACTATTTAATTTTTTTATATTCATTTAAAAATAAAAATATGTAGAAATTGAAATTATATAAAATTTATTAAAAAAAATTAATGATGTTTTATTATATATTTTAAATTATAAAATGGTAAAATAAACACATTAAATGAAAATATCAATTATATATAAATTGAAGAAAACATTGTATGGGCTAAAGCAAGCTCTAAGAGTATGGTATAGCCAAATTGATTTCTATTTCACCAACAAGGGTTTCAAGAAGAGCAAGAGTAAGCCAACCTTATATGTGAAAAATCAAGGTATGTCAATTCTTATTGTTGTCTTGTATGTTGATGATTTTTTATTTTTCGGTAATGATGAGATAATGATTGAAGAATTTAAAAATGACATTATGAGAAGATATGAAATGAGTGACATGTGTGTGTTGAATCATTTTCTTGGAATTGAAATCTATCAAGTTGAAGATAGAGTATTTATTTCTCAAAAGAAATATGTGTAACGCCCTAACCTTTCACATGTCATCGATATTGTCCGCTTTGGCCACCCCAGTACGAATTTGTTTTTCCTAGTGGGTCACCCATCCCAGAACTACTCCAGCCTTAGCACGCTTAACTAGGGAGTTCTTTTAGGGATTTCACCACTCGAGAAAAGGCCTCGATGCTACATAAGGGTCTAGGTTTTACTTTTATAGCTCAGAAACTCCTCATCTATTCCCGATGTAGCACACTAGGACCTTACAATTCACTCTCCTTAGGGTTGCACGTCCCCGTGCAGTAGCCAACAATCCAATGGCCAACATAACTTCTAGTGCTCGACTCCCTAGTGATGATCCATCCACATTTAAATTCAACACTCTAAAATTATATTTTTATTACGATTATTATTATATAAATAAAAATATTACATAAAATTAATATAGAATGATATGATTTTTTTTTTTTTTTAATTTTACAAATCTACAAGGTTCCTTATACGTTTAAAAAGTCACTTTCACATCATTTTAATCAGTAATTATATATGATTTCTTTCATAAAAAAATATCATTTTCCATTTAATACTAGTAACACAGGTATACTTGCATAAAATTACAGGTGTTCACTCTAAGCTTCTTTATGATTTACAGACATAAGAGCACCTTGCTCACACACATTACTTGCATTAATTACCAAAAAAAAAAAACACCCCACTCCACACTAGCAAGGAGCACCTTATTCTGACCCGCAGCTTTGATCCACACACTGGCACCACTGTTTCACACAAATGGGATTGGGAAAAGACTCCTTATTTGCAGGCCTATGACCTAGTAGAGCATTCCATCACTTTGCTTCAGAAAAATGCTGCAATAGGTGGATTTGAACATGTCTAGGAGGAGAGGAGATTGCAAGAATACAAAAAAACCCACAGGTATGACTGGCAATACAAAAACAGGGATAATAATCCATGCCTTGTAACTTTCCTCAAACACAAGATAGAGTGTGGCACCAAAGGCTATCATGGTAGATAATATGGAGAGAAATAGGGTTAGGAGACCAAAAATTAATCTTCTTGGAAGGGTAACAAGAAAATCATCTTCTGCATAGCGAGAAGTAAGGATGGACAAGAACAACAGCACAGAAGTTATGGATGAGAAAAGAGCGAATGCATCAAATATACCGAAGATTAAGAAGGACGCTCTTTTGTTAAAAATTGGACTGCCATTGCCGTTGTTTCCACCTGGTACTGTAATTGCAGCCGCAAACACCACAGTGGCAATGAGAGCTGCTACAATTGAGCATGCATTGGCTGTGCCTTTCATCCACTGCTCCCCTTCTTTCACCAAGTCCTTATGTGTATCAGTAAATACTTCTGCAGGTGTCATTTCCTTATAGTTCCTCTCTTCTTTGTTTCTAGGCAAAATATGTTTTTCCACTTCCTGTATAATTTATTTTATTTTTTTTAAAAAAAAAAAACTATATGAACATAGTATTTCATAATTTAAAATAAAATGAAACACTAACATGATTTTCATGTCATTAACAATAATGTGGCAGGGACATTTTTTATACTTTGAACGCACGTGATGGATCTATTGTTTGAAAATGTTTTTTGAGAAAAAAAATGTCACATGTACAAGTTTCTGACTTACAACAAACTTGGATAGATTCATCATTCTGTATAATAATTTTATAAAGCAATTCTCTTCATATGGCATTACACACTTGTAATAAGTTATTGGTAATCATTTTATTTACTTAGCATGGAGTTTGGGAAGATTACCTTAAACCATTGCAATTCCCGCTGCATCTGAAGAGCTGCACCGGCTCTAAGATTGAGTTGTTGTTGAGATGCCAAATATCCAGCCAAATGCAAAGCATTGTTCCTCGATTCATCCCATTGTGACAAAAATATAGTCTTAGACTCCTCAACTCGATGTATGAGGTTGAACACATTTTCACAACGACACACAATTGCATGATGGAATATGGATTGCTTCTTCTGGTTTCGAAGATAAATTGCATTAGGGTATGACCTTAAAATCGCTTGGGTAATTTCATGAATCCCAGACGATACTGCTTGGAATAATGGTGGTGAAAATATCTTTTCTGCACTTGAGTAATTTGATTGTACGATTTCCTTGCAAATGAATTTGACAAGCTCATGTGCATCATGATGTATCATTTTTTTCTCTCGGATGTGCTTGATACATGGCACTGTAATTAAAATGACTTTTTAAGGATGTAATAATAATAATAATGATAATAGTCTAGTATGAACATATAATAGTATTCACTTCTTACCAAAATTTTCTATGACTTCCCAAAAGGTTGCATGAAATCTTTTCTTCACTGTACATGATACTAAATCTGTCAAAAACGGAGAGGAAAAACAATGGTGATGAACAAATGTCTAGTAATTTTTTAAATTGTGTTTGGATTTTACATTTAAAGAGAGATTTATGAATAGAAAGAACGAAAAAAATGAAAGAAATAAAAAATAATTTCGATTTTTGTCATTTTTCCTGACTTTTTCCCAATTCTTACCCAATTTTGAGATAGTCTTAATCATTTTTGTTTTGACAATTTCATTCAAAGACTGAATTTGAAGGATGTTTTGTGTTGAAACATTTACTTTGAAAGACTTCAATTTCAAGCTTTTATCATTTAGACAGAATTTATCTATCATTACTCATTAAAATGTCAAATTGAAGCTACTTCATTCCTAGTGCTAAATACCTAATGCCTGTAATCCCATTTTATTATTTTTAATGAACGGTAAATAAGAAACTAAATCATGATTACTTATGCAACTGAAATCACATAAAAAATCTCATTTAAAAAAAAATGTAACCATTTGGAAGTTTAAATAAAAATTAGAAATTTCAAAATTCCTAATTTATTTGGGAAATTGTGTAGTGGATTTGAGGCAAGCACATTTAATATGTTAATTAATAATTTATTTATTTATTTTTGAATAAATTGGCGATAAATCCAAGCTAACGAGGACATAATGTATTAGGTCTAGTGAATATTTTTTGTGGGTGAGAAATCCACCCTTGTGAAATAGTTTGGTGAGAAGTCCTTATATTTGTTTTGAAAATATTTTATTTTCAATTTTACCCTTTAATTTATCTGTTGACATTTGTTGACTATCTGTTAAAATTTTCCTATCTATTCAAAAAAATTTCCTATCTATTCAAATTTGTTCCTATCTATTCAATTTTTTTACCCTATTTGTTTAATTTTTTAATCTTCTCAATTCAAATTTCCCTTATCTATTGAGATATTTTGTATTGTGTTGAAATATAAAGCTATTTGTTGAAATTCAAAGAGTGATATGTTAAAATACCCAGCCAATTTTTCATGTTTGTTTATTTCCTATTTGTTCAATTTTTTTATTTGTTGAAATAGCAATTCGATTTGTTTATTTATTTAAACAGATCTAATCTGTTGAAATAGATCTAAGCTCCTCAATTTTTTTGTGACTATCATCTGTTCTCTCCGTATCTGCCCTTATTTGTTTCAATTCGTTTTTTCTTCATCATCATCATCATCATCATCATCATCAACAACAACAACAATAATAATAATAGTAATAAAAAACTAAAAAAAAAGATCTAATCTGAGATCCAGATGTACCACATCAACAATAATCAATAATAACAATAACTAGAAAAAAAAAATCTCCATGATCCCAATGTTCATTCTACACCTTCCTAATCTACTCTTCCTCACTAAAAAAATCTCCATGATCCCAATGTTCATTCTACACCTTCCTAATCTACTCTTCCTCACTCAAATCCTTCCAATCCTTTCCAGATCCGTATGACGACATTATCATCATCATCATCAAATAAAGAGCCAAACCACCGATTTGTGTAAAGAACAAACAAACAAAATAACACACATTCATCAACCACCACGTTCGATTTAGTTTTTGAAATGAATTTTAAGTTTGAAAGATAAATTGTTAAAAAAAGTTTTAAAAGTTAAAAATTTATTTGACTATGAATTTTGATAATAATTTTGAAATGATTTGTAATTTTTTTTTATTTATTTTGTTGAATAGATAGATGTAAAAAAAATTTAATTGATTGATATGTATAATGTAAGAGAATGCACTACAAGAAAAAAACATTTTTGGCGACTAAATTTTTAGTAGTCCGTTTTTAGTCGCCGAAAGTCGAGTTTTTACTTTCAGCGATTAATTTTTTTAGTCGCTCCTTTTGTCGCGTATATATGGTCGCCGGAGGTATTGACGACTAAAATTTTTTTAGTTGGCAAAAAATAACTCTTTAGCGACCAACTTTTTAGTCGCCAATAGTGATTTACACTTTTTAAAATCACACATTTGGCGACTAATCTTTTAGTCGCCAATAGTCAATCACACATTGGCGACTAATCTTTTAGTCGTCAATAGTCCATGAATTACCGACTAAACAGTTTAGTCGCCCAAAATAAACACTTTTGGCGACTAAAATTTTCGTTGCCAAAGGCCCTTCCGTGAAAAAAAAAAAAAAAAAAAAAAACCAATTTCTTGGCTTGTTCTGAGATTCAAACCGCCAACCTTCGAACCGCCAACACCTTTAGCAACACACTCGCTCCACTATGCCACTTCAACATCACATGAATATATATGCAATATATATTATTTATATAGTATATTGACCGGTATTAATACAAAACTATATATATAAATAATTATTATTTTTATTCAATATAATTTATGTAAAAAATAAATTATTTATTAAAAAAAATTTAGGCCACTTTTGGCGACTAAATCCATTATTTAGTCGCCAATTCTATTATTTTGGGCTACTAATTAATTTTTTGTCGCTAAAAAAATAAGTTCAAATTAAAAATAAGCAGTTTTGGCAACTGAATCTGTTTTTAGTCGCCAAAAACGTCTCCTTTTGGCTACTAAACTGAATTTTAGTCGACAATTGACTGTTTTTAGCTACTAATTTTTTTTTGTAGCAAAAAAGCTTCATTTTCAGCGACCAATCTGTTTTTAGTCGGCAAAACACCTATAATCGGCGACGAAAATGTTTTTTAGTCTCCAAAAATCGTCACTTTTGGCTACTAAACAACCTTTAGTCGCTAAAACCCCTATATTAGGCAACTAAATTGCCTTTTAGTGGCTAAAATCCCTGTATTCGGCGACTGAACTCTTTTAGTCGGCAAAAGTGTTCAATTTTGGCTACTAATGCCATTTTAGTCGCCAATTCTACTACTTTCAGCGACAAAAAATGAAGTTTTAGTTGCCAAAAACGTTTTTTCTTGTAGTGATGAAAGAGCATACAAAAGTGATTAATAGATTTATTAATAATAAATAACAAAAAAAAAAAAGAAAAGGAGAGACGACAAAAAATTGAGCTTTTAAATTATATTTTAAAAATTTGTTAACCAAACAATTTAAATTTTTTTTTTTTTTTGTAATCCAAATCATGTTTTAAAAACTAAACAAACTTTATCCAAAAATCCAAAAATAAGAAAGCTGGAAGCCCAAGCCCCACGCCCCGCCTTACGCTCCGTCTCACCTCTCCGTGACGAAGACAATTATTTCTCTCTCTCTCTCTCTCTCTCTCTCTCTGCGGTGAAAATCATGGATCAGCCCAGCGGCGACCAGAAAGCTCGGGTCAGGTTGGGGACCCAAAACCGGATTCGAGTTGATAGGGCAGTGCAGGTGATGGTTCTGCTCGAGACAAGGGGAAGGAGGGGCCAGGAAAATGGAGGCCAACACGCAGCAACAGCCGGATCGACGATGTTTGGGTGGTCCATGGTCGGCAGTTCGACGATGACGCCGCGAAATCGATCGGCGTGTTGGCCACCGTCGACGGTGTAGAGGGAGGAGTTGAGGACGGTGGCGTCGAGGACGAACCATCCACGTCATAGGCTCTGATCAAATTTGGAGAGGGAGGAGGAAAGAGATATATATATAAACGAGGCTTTGGTTTGCAAAATGAATAATATTAGGGCTCATGAAAATAATTAGGGTGTGACATTTTTTTTTTTGTATGTGTAACCTTATCTTTTATGATATTTTTTTCATTATAGAAAAATATATCATAAAACATAGTACGAAAAAAGTTGGGAAGAAAAAAGTTGGGCATTTTTTTAGTTAAGATAGTCAAAACAGTTAAAATAGATTTTTTACATCATATTTGACCTATAATTATTATATTTTTTTTCTTTACAAAAAAGTTAAAAAGTTAAAAGTCTTTTTTAAAAGAGATTTTTTAATCCAGATTAAGGGATTGTTTGGGGTGTCCTAAATAAGTATACTTTTTGTTTTTTTGGACTAAAAAATTGAGAAAGAAAATATGGATGTTTGGGTTAACTTTTTGACTTTTTATGAAAAAATGTGTAATAAAAAATTGTAAAAATTAATTTGTAGGAAAAAATTAGGATTGAGAGTTGTGCAGCCGTAATTGTTGACTTTTGATAAATAGTGTTAACTTTTTAACTTTTTAAGTAATTTTTTGACTTTTTAATTTTTTTACAATATGCCAAACTTGACCTAAAAAAATCAAAAAAACAAAAGGCAAGACAACTTGGGTTGGGTTGGATTTGAGATTACTTTAGTAAAAAAAAATAAATAAATAAATTTAGTTTAATAAGATAAAATATCACGTTCAACTCATAATCATTATATTATTTCTTTTACAAAAGTTTAAAAAATCAAAAAGTTCATCACAAATGAGATTTTTTAATCCCAAACTAAAATAATTCAAAAATTCAAAAATCAAAAAGTTCATTCCAAACGGAACTTCTTAATTCCAACAACTCATTTTTCAAACGAAAATAAACACACACACACACACATATATATATATATATATATAAGATAATTTTACTATTTTGTGTGAGTTTATCCTTATCAATTTAATATTTTGGCCTTTGATTTGGACGAAGGGAATCTATTAGAGTCCTAATTTTTTTTATTATTAATTTAGATAATAAATTTTATTTTTTTATTGGTTTTTAAAAATTTATTAAATAAGTGTGACAATGTAAATAATTAAAGTATTGTTGTATGACGACCAAATAATTTCTCGAAACCACAAGTCCCGTCCAAGTTCTTGAGGCGATTATGATTGAATCGAATGAACTCCTACGCCGCTCGCCCTCCTCAGCCACCCTAAGCGTCGCCTCCTACGCCCTCTTCTTCACCACCCCAAATGAGTTCGAGACCCGACCCAATCAGAAATTGAGCGGATTTCAAACACGTAATTGTGTGGTCCAACGAGTCTTTGAGGCAAATTGTGAACCGGAAGTCCCGGTGGCAGTGCGGTGGTAGATTGGCTTCTTGAGGCGGTGGTTGTGTTTGGGAATAATTTGATTGCTGATCCAAATGTGTCAGAGATTCATCTTTGGTTCTCAGCCTCAACCATCAAAGAAGGTGAGTGTTTCTTGTGATATTTTTTTTTTGCATATTTAGGCCTTATTTGTCATCTTCTAATAAAATTAAAAAGTTAAAAACTATCTCTCTATCATATCACTTTAAATCTAATTCATACCTAACTCATATTTTATAAAAATCAAAAAGTATACTTATTTAGAATACCTCAAACAACCCCTTAAGAACATTATCATCTTTGAATCACACACTAAATGATCAATTCTTATATATAGGATTTAATTGTAGCATCCTGAAAAAAGAAGTGAAAATAAAAGTTACTTTCAGGCTTGTGAAAGGCTTGATTGTTTTGATGGATCATTGTTAATGATGCTAAGGGAGAATTAACATTTACGTATCTTAAATTTGTATTTGAATCATTATTATGCTTGTTCACAAAATTCCCAATCTTTACTGGCCTTGTTTGAGAAATTGGCTATTTTCATAGACTATTTTAGTTTTTGATTATTTTCATAGGTTAAAATAGTTGAGTTTGGAAAGAGGATTGAATTTTTTTGTAATTGAATATGATATTTGTGAGAGAAAAGTGAAATGATTATGAATTTAATATGATATTTTGTCTTATTAATTATTTTAATTTATTTTGTCTTCTAATACTATTTTTAACCTAAAAAGCCAAAAAAAAACTTCTTCCCAAATGTGTTTTTTTTTTTGGGTAGTTTATATGGACTTGAAAAATATAGAAATTTTATCTCTTATTCATGTAGAGGTTAGAGATGTTTCTTTACTAGTACCATAAACTCACGAATTGCATTAGCTCCACACTAGTTATAGAGTTTTGTCTAGGTTAGTCTTTTGGACTTTCTTGTATTAAGTTCATGACTGCGGTTTGTTTAAATTTTAGGGCAAAATTCACTTTATCCAATATTATTTGACCTTAGAATACTTGACCCTAGTCATTTAAAAATAACTAAAAAAGTCTAAATTGTTTTGTTAGCCTTCTAAAAATAACTAATAAGCTGGCTGAATTGTTCTGTTAGCCTGAGCTGCTGCAGTGTGGACGGTTGGGGTGTTTGTCTTGCTGGGCTAATCTAATTTGTACTGGTGCTGGGCTATGGGCTACTGATAAAAGGAGTGAGGTGTGGGGCAGGTTTGGCCTGTCAAAGTGTCTACTCTGTGGTGGTTTGTTTATTTCTCAAGCTTTGTTCTGTCAGTGTGTTTTGGTTTGTTTATCTCGCTATGTTTATGCTGTTTGGTTGTTTTGGGTGTTTGGTCCGTATCAGGTATGGTTAGTTCTTCATTGGATGAGGTTGTTTTTGATGTTGTGGTTGGCTCCTTACCAACTCGATTAGATCCGCTATGATGCGTTTTACACTCATCCTTCTTTTCTTGTATTGATGTAATAGGTTTCTGTTTCATCAATAAAGTTTCTTTTCTTTGCTGAAAAAAAAAAAAAAAAAAAAAAAAAAAAAAAAAAAAAAAAAAAAAAAAAAAAAAAAAAAAAAGTCTAAAGGCTACATTGAGATTTGAGATTCAAAGCTTTACCGCTGTAGACACCATAAATGCAGCCTTTGGCAGCATTCTCAATATCCGGTTTTCTTTTATGCTCTGTGATGTTTTCCAATTTCAGAGGAACACCTAAAAGAGAGAAAAAAAAAAAAAAAAAAAAAAAAAAGTTATTATATGATAAGTGATAAAGAGTGTTGCTGGAACATTGTTTAATATTGAAATTAAAGTCTGAAATGTTTTGAAAATACGTGAAAGTATTAAAAAAAAAATGTATTAATTTCAATAAAAATGAATGTTAAGTGTAACCCAAAATTAAATAAATAAATCAGCAATAGAGAAAAATTGCAGAATAGGTAATGCATAGAGAGGAGAGTGAAGAGGCCAAATACACTAACACGAATAGATTTTGTTTTGGAAGAAGTTGAAGGATGCTCCACTTCGGAATGAAGAAGGCTTTTGAGCAATTGCCATAAGAAAATTCTGGTCAAGACGATGATTTTCTTTCTCCGGAATGAAGAATGCTAACTTAGGTTTGTCTTGAAGCAAAGCTAGAGCAATGTCTGTAGGATTAACGAAAATGAAAATAACAGTTAGTTAATTGAAATTAAGTTATATATTCTAGTTTAAAACTCTCCTATCGTGTTAACAACGTACTCACCATTAAGTCCACTATTGATCAGCTGACGCAAAATTTTAAAACCTGATTCACCGTCAAACGGTGTAGGATTCCACCAGAGATCATCTATCCCTTTCCCCTTACCATCCTCCATTAGTTTTGGATTTTGAGAATATTGCAATAAGTGATTGGCACCTAGTCAGAGAACGAGACAAGAATTGAGACAAATGACTGGTGGTACGCTTTGTCTCATCATCATCATTTACAATAGTGACCCTTAACAAGAAAAGACACATCTCTCTATCCCCACGAGCAGCTGCATAAAACAAAGGAATTTGTTTATCGTAGTTTTGAGCATTTGGCAGGTACGGGTTCTCTTTCACTAACAGTTTGGCAGCCTCAATGTTGCCAGCTCCTGCAGCCCTGTGAAGTGCTGTCCTTTTTCTGGTGTCACCAAGAGCTAGATCTTCTCGTAACATATGCTTCACTAGGTTCTTCACAAAATTGTTTCTTCGCTTCGACTTCACCGCAACTATGAGCATTGTTTCGGACTCTTCTGTTATGCCAGCCCTCATTGCAATATCTGGTTCTCGTCTTATAAATTCATTGGCTGTCTCCCAGTCACCTTCGGTTGCTGCTTTGTGCAGTGGCACATAATGACCTGCCCAAGGAATTCTCAAATTTTCGCTGTTAGGTATAAATAATGTGCATTTCAAATTCACTTTTTACATTATGGCACAAGGACGAACCTAGAATTACATCATCTCACTACAAGAAAATACACCTTTGGCGACTAAATTTTTAGTCGCCAAAGGTCCTTTTTTAGTCGCCAAAGGTCGAATTTTCACTTTTCCCGACAAAAACTTTTAGTCGCCATACTTGAAAAAGATTGTGGAAGAATTTGACTCAAAGCCGAGGCCGGGGTTTGTGTTTGAAAATAATGTGTTGAAATTTCAGAATAGACTCTGTGTACTAGATTCCTCTGATTTGAGAAAGCGCGTTATGTCCGAAGCTCACAGCACCAAATTTGCTATGCATCCGGGGAACACAAAGATGTATCATGATTTGAGACAGAATTTTTTGTGGCCTGAAATGAAAAAGTGCATTGCAGATTTTGTGGCTAGATGTTTACACTGCCAACAAATTAAAGCCGAACATCAACAACTCGCTGGTTTGCTACAACCACTTCTCATACCGCAATAGAAATGGGAGCACATTACTATGGACTTCATTGTGGGATTGCCTTGCTCCTCCCGAGGTATGGATTCTATTTGGGTCATTGTGGATCGTTTAACTAAGTCTGTCCATTTTCTACCTGTTAAATCTATTTATGATGCTGACAAATTGGCCAATATTTATATGAGTGAGATTGCATGGGGTGCCAGTATCTATTATATCTGACAGGGATTCAAAGTTTGTGTTAGGATTTTAGCAGAGTTTGCAACAGGCTTTGGGGACAGAACTGAGGTTGAGTAGTGCCTATCACCCATAGACAGATGGTCAAACTGAACGAACCAATCAAACCTTGGAAGATATGCTCAGAATATGTGTGTCAGATTTCTAAGGAAGTTGGGAAACTTACTTGCCATTAGCTGAGTTTGTGTATAACAACAGCTACCATTCAAGCATTGGAATGACTCCTAATGAAGCTTTGTATGGAAGAAAAAGCCGATCTCCGATATGTTGGGCCGAGGTAGGCGATAGACCATTGTTGGGACCGGAACTTGTGCAAGAAACCACTGAAAATGTAAAATTGATTCAGCAAAAGTTGAAAACTGCACAAAGCCGCCAAAAGGGCTATGTTGATGTTCGAAGAAGAGATAAGGAATATGAAGTTTGGGACCATGTGTTCATAAAAGTGACCCCTATGAAGGGTCAAACTCGGTTTGGTGTAAAGGACAAGTTGGCACCAAGGTATGTTGGGCCATATGAAATCCTTGAAAAGATCAATTCAATAACCTATCGAGTGGCCCTACCTCCGGTAATGGAACATATGCACAATGTATTTCATGTATCGATGCTTCGAGAGTATTTGAGAGATCCACTACATGTGATTGAGCCGACTCACGTGCTTTTAAAAGACGATTATACATACGAAGAGCGGCCAATTCAAATTGTCAACCGAAGAATCAAAAGAGTAAGGAACAAAGAAATACCACTGGTAAAAGTCGATTGGCAGAATCATGGAGGAACTTATGCTACATGGGAAACAGAAGGAGACATGATGAAGAGATATCCAGATTTGTTTCCATTGGACCCAATGTTCTTCTAGAACGAAAGTAACTTGAGTTTGGAGGACCAAACTCTTTAAGGGCAGAAAACTGTAACAACCCCGATCCCTGATTAACTATGCTTGATTAGTAATTAAAGGGAAATTCTGAATTAAATTGCATGTGCATTGCATTATTTGTGTTTATATATGTTCAGCGTAGAAAGATCTGTTCATGTTTTAGTTTTGGTTTGTCAATTGAAGGCCTTATCGGCATCCGACTCAGAAATTGACTTAATTTACATATTATTAGAATTTTTAGAATTTTATGGTAGGTTCAATTGAAATTCGAATTGGAACGATTAAATTAGATTAACTAACTCAAGCCCACATAAGGCTTATACACCTCACTTGAGCCTTTTTTTCATATTTACTTTGAGCCTCCAAGAGATACAAACGTGAGGGGGGTGAGAGAGAGAAGAAATTGAACTCAACCAAGGAATTACTAGAAAAGAGGAAGGAACCTTGGAGATTTGATCATCTAGCTCAAGAATTTAGCACCTAAGAGTCAATTAAGCATCTAAGGTAAGAAGCCAAGTCTCTAGTCTTAAAATTGAGTTAATTCATACATGAATTCAAGTAAATTGAGCTAAGAGATTCAAGCTTAAGAAGTAGATAGAAAGATCAATTCATATATGCATGTACATTCTAATGCATTGAGAGCATGTTACTAGGAAATTCCCTCATGCATGTTTGAAATTCATCTTAATTTAGGGAAATCATCAAGTTTCAAGTTGTTTTGTAGCATTTGATTATGTTTTGAGAAGCTCAAGCTCAAGAAAAATTCATGCATGTTATGTTCATGAAACATTCATATTTTTTAACAATTGGCATGCTTTTGGGTCTTGATTTCATGAAATGATCTTCAAAGCATGATATTTTGTAAGTTCCTAAGTATTTTCCAGAATTTTGGCCCAAGAGGATGAGTTTTGAAGTATTTAGTTAGAGGTTGAAGCTTGGAGATCAAATTTGGAAATTCCAAAATTTGAATCCACGCTCGAGCGTAAGAGTTCACGCTCGAGCGAGCACTCTGAGTGCGTGCACTTCTGCTCGAGCGACCAGAAGCTCGCTTGAGCGTGAAATGCATGTATCCAGAAGTTCATATGTTTTGCAGCATGCTCAAGTGACATATGTCACGCTCGAGTGACGGTCTGAGTCTCACGCTCGAGTGTGGGTCGAGCGTTCGTTGAGCCTGAAAAACTAGCAACCAGTACTTTTGTCAAGATTACAGTACACTCGAGCGAAGTAATTCACGCTCGAGGGAACCTCCATATTTTGCATGTCTGCTCGAGCGAGTAAAGCCACGCTCGAGCGTGGACCTTGTTTTCAGCAAGATTTGAAAAATGTTTTCTAATGTAATTTTTGCATCCTCATTCCATCCTATGCATTCCTAGGTCATGATTAAGACACCATAATAAGGATAAGAGTAGAAACACACTAAGAACAAATGTAATAAGTTATGTACGAATCAAACGAGTGTTTCAGGAGTGTATTTATTGTGTGTTAATGTAGGTCACGTGCCGTAAACCATTTGATTAGTTTGCTTCGTCTGTCTGCACCCGAAGCCAACTGTGAGTAATAACTTAGTAAAGCTATGTTCAACTTTATTTATTTTCTGTATGAAGAATTAAGATTTGTTTTCTAAAATGATATGTTCTGTACAATGAATGATTATTCAATTTCTGACAATGTATTCGTGGCATCCTTAGCATCATGTGATATCTGTTAGCTGTTACTTGGTATCGAAGGTTCCATTATGGAACTTAATATGTCTGTACTCTGTTACCCGTACTGGAGGCTCCATCATGGGGCTCAACATGTTTATTCTCTGTTACTCGGTATCAGAGGTTCCATTATGGAACTTAATATGTCTGTACTCTGTTACCCGTACTGGAGGCTCCATCATGGGGTTCAACATATTTATTCTCTATTACCTGGATCCGGAGGTTCCTTTATGGAACTGGTTATTCATAACCATCATATGTTCTGCATCTGTTCTGTATATACTCTGTTAGCGCTAATAGATGTACCACGTATGATTAAGCATAAATTATGATTTCTGTATATGATCTCAACAAGAATATGAATATGAATATGCTATTAATCTGAATTATTATTTTTGAATTTGTATGGACTTCATTTATTAAAACCCCTTTACTCCGTTATTATTCACTGGGCTTCCGCTTACTATTTTGTATTATGTATGTGGGTGAGCAGGCGCGTCACCAGGCTCAAAGTTGACGGCCTACATTTTAGTTTTTTTGTCAGCCAACCTTTGTGTCTCCCGAGGAGGTTCCAGATGAAGTCAAGTTTTTATGGTTGTTTTTATAATCATAATAGACTTGGTATATTTTGTTAAGTCTTGGGCAAGATATCTGACATTATACTCCTAGGAGTGATAGGTAAATATTGTATCTTTGACATCACTCGTAAGTCTATAAAAGTTTTTAAGTTATACGTCTCATGTATGTCTCCACAGCTCGATGGACCACTTATATTTTGTATATTTGCTTCTGCAGCCCCTAAATATATGTTAATCTGTCAAGAGGCCTTTGGTAATCTAAGAATTATTGGCCGGTTACGATGCTAAACCCATAGGGGCAGATTTGAGTCGTGACAGAGTGGTATCAGAGCACGTGTTTTACTGCACACATAGGTCCATATGAGCTTAGGATGTCCTAGTAAGAAAGAAATAGGAGCATTCCATTTGCATGTATGAGTGTGTGGTAATCCTAATGGATATGACAACTGAATGTAAATCTAAGCAAATGAATTGAAAGAAATGAAAGAGATTATTCCTATGTTTATTATTATTTGGTATCTTTATAGTAACATGGAGAATGCAAGGGGAAATGATGTAAGTGAATCTTCAGAGGCTCGCATGAGCCGAATGGAACAAATGCTTGCAGCATTGATTGAAGCTATGATGCAACAACAAAGACAACAACATTTGCCCCCTCCACCTTTACCGGCACAAGCCGAAACAGATAATAATGATATTATCAACCTGACACAAAAATTCATGGAGATGAAACCGCCAACATTCCTAGGTGGAATTGAACCGTTGAAAGCAAAAACATGGTTGCTTGAGATGGAAAAACTATTTGAGGTGTTTCCTTATACCGAGGTTCAGAAAGTTTTTTTGGCCACTTATACTCTGAAAGACGAAGCTCGGAGATGATGGTTATTGATTCGAGATACCAATGGGAATATGACGTGGGCTCGATTTAATGAGATCTTTTATGAAAAATACTTTCCTCAATGTTTTCGGGACCGAAAAGTGTTTGAATTCCAAGAACTTAACCAAGGCCGAATGTCTGTAGCCGAGTACGAGGTAAAGTTCACCGAATTAGCCAAATTTGCTCCTCATATGATGGACACAGACTACAAGAAAGCCCGTAAATTTGAGGGA